GCTGTTTGGAGGAGGCCTCACAGGTAAGAGCACTAACTAGCTACCATCACATGTACCTTAGCTTGACTTAAATGTATTAAACGTATAATTAAGTGATATCAAAATATAAATAACTAATGTCATGCAAACATATTAATATTTGCTTGATTCCAGAGTTGAATTTAGCACAATTGCAAACAAACGTGAAGGGATTTTAAGATTCTGAAGTCTTCGTTCTAAATAGAAAATAGCATGGATAATTTACAAAGGCTTTAAAAACACAGCAGGAGCCCAAGACAATTATAAAACTTGTCATTATTTCAGTACAGTTCAATTGGTTTTATTTTTCCATAAATGGTTATCAACCGTTAGTGCCAAAGCAGTAGGCTATACCAGGGTTTTTCAAAGTGGGGGCCGCCAGGGGGGTTGCGAACATTTTGAGGGAAAGGGAAAAAAGGGGGTAAAATGAAAAAAAAAATTAATATATGTTTTTTTAGATGTTCCTTTGATGCCCAATTGTTTAATATATTAAAAACAAATTAAACAAAACGACCGCCCTTCAAGCCAATCAGAATCGAGCTGTCGCTACTGAGAGTGTAACTGAGTTGCTGCGTGAACACTAGCTAGCTACCTCCTGCTAAAGGATCAAATGGACAAATATCTTAAAAGAAAAACACCATCTGACGATCAGAATGAAGATGTCCCCGCTGCAAAAGATTCACAGCCACGGAATACCTGGCCGTCTAAAACTCGAAGGAATGAGCCATCATACATAAAGTTTGGTTTTACCGCGGCAAGTAAGAACGGCCGTGATGTACCTAAATGTGTTCTCTGCCTCGAGATCCTCGCCAACGAGTGTCTAAACTTAGCCATCTAAACTTGATGGACATCTCAAACAAAAGCACCCAGCTGAAGCTAATAAATAAATAGACTTTTTTTAAAGAAAAGAAGAGCACCTAGTGATGCAATCGGCTACTTTTAAGCAGCAAGCCGGCGTCCCTGAGCGGGCCTTGAAGGCATCATTTTTAGCATCATACCACATCGCCCGTGCAAAGAAACCGCACACAATAGGAGAGGATTTAATTCTACCAGCTACCATCGATATTGTTCGGGAAATGCTAGGTGAGGATGCTGCCAGCAAAATCAACGCAGTACCACTCTCAGATAATTCTGTGAGCCGACGGATTGGTGACATGGCTCAAGACGTATCTGCTCAGCTTTTGGAGCAAGTGAGAGCTAGCGAATATTTCGCTCTGCAGCTGGATGAGAGCACGGATGTAGCAAATGTCGCAGAATTGCTTGCATACATCAGATTTATTTCAGAAGACAACTTTGTTGAGGAAATATTATTTTGCAAAGCACTGGAAGGTAGGACCACATGAAGAGACATTTTCCAAGTTTTAGATGAGTACATCATCTCACACGGACTTGACTGGTCTCGTTGTGTGGGTGTGTGCTCAGATGGGGCAGTGGGGCTATGACAGGCAAAACAAGCGGAGTGACAGCTTTGATAAAGCAGAAGGCCCCAAATGTAGTGGCAACGCACTGCATGCTCCATCGGGAGGCACTTGTTGCTAAACGAATGGATGATGAACTACATCAGATACTACAGGAAGTTATACAAGTAGTGAATTTCATAAAAGCTCGGCCCTTAAAACACCGACTGTTCGCTATTTTGTGTAACGAGATGGGCGCAAAGTTTGAGGGGTTACTGCTCCATTCCAACATGCGCTGGCTTTCCCGTGGGGCGGTGCTGAATCGTGTTTTTGAACTGCGAAGGGAGATCGGTGAATTCCTCTCTTCTGAAAATCATCAACTGGCTGGCCGTTTTTCAGATGCTTCATGGCTCCGGAAACTTGCATACATGTCGGACATATTCCAGCATCTAAATGTCCTGAATAAGAGCATGCAGGGGCGCGAGACGTACATATTACATGTGCAGGACAAAGTACAGGCTTTTACAAAGAAAATCGCCCTGTGGTCGACCAAACTCAAGGAGGGAGTGACAGAGATGTTCCCACAGCTTCACCAAGCGCTTCTGTCATCCGGTGCTGATCCAGGCACCATTTCACCACTGATCCAGTCGCACCTAGCGCACCTGCAGGGATATTTCAAAGAATATTTCCCTGACCTGGAAGACAACTCAAATCAAAATTGGATAAGAAACCCATTTGCCCCAGGAGTAGGTGAGAGTCTGGATCGTATGTCCCAAGAGAGACTCATAGACATGGCGAATGAATGGGAGTTGAAGGTGACATTTCAAGCTGTTTCCCTCCCACAGTACTGGCTTTATGTCAAAAAAGACTATCCTGCACTGGCTGAGAGAGCTCTCAAATCCCTGCTTCCATTTGCCACCACATACCTCTGCGAGTATGGCTTTTCTACATTGAAGGTATTGAAAACAAAGCACAGAGCACGTTTGCAAGTGGACAATGACATTCGTCTGGCACTGACAAACCTAAAACCTAGGATTGATAAACTGTGTAGGAGCCACCAAGCCCACCCCTCCCACTAGTGAGGGAACATGTATACACTGTACACAAAGAGACACACATAGTGAAATGACAAGGACTGTTTATAACTGAAGACACACTGAATGTAATGAATAAATGGCAAAACAAACAAAAAATACTGTACATGTTAACTATTAATATTACTGTTGAATAGTATGTATAATGTTATATATATATATATATATATATATATATATATTATTATTAAGACAGAAATAACTTTCAAAAATGCTCAAAATATATGTTTATTGTTCATATTACTGTTGAATATGACTGTAAAAACTACACTGCGCATGCTCAGAGTATTGTCCTATTTAATGTGTGTGGCAAAAAAATAATGACCATAGGGGCATAGAGCTGCCATCCCCACCATACGTCATCTCACATAATTCAGAGCTGATTGGCTGTAAGTACGTGTGCCGCGAAAAGTGTGGTGTGTGAAGAGGAGGAGAGAGAGCTGCAGTAAGGCGTCCTAAAACCCGGAAATAAACTGCGCATGGCTTCCCTCCACAAAAAAGCAATGATATTTCTCCATAGGATTTTAGAAAATAGCTCAAAATAAGATCTGTGGGAAACAAACCTGTTAGATAAATGCACGTTTTGTTCAGCCGGATAATATCCACATGTCTACCCTACTTTTATAATTTTTGAATCATAAATATATCGATTAGATTTATGATAGCCTTTTGAAACTACAAGAACATAAGGAGAACTTTTACAAAAAAGTAATAGAGATTTTTGTCCAGAAGGATAGGCAAATGGACTTCATCTTCATGTCAAGGTAAGACTGCAATTTGATTGAAAATGGGATCTTACTAAGAGAGAACAATTCAATATTTAAATGATACAATTACATTTTTTGGGTATCCTTTTGTTGAACTGTCTGTTTAAAATTAATTGAAGCATCAGACAAAAAAAGCTTTTGAAAATAATATTATATTTTGATTTAGGTCAAAATATAATATTTGTAAACCTGAAGAGTCAGAGCCAGTGCCTCACCAGCCATGAACCTCACTGCAGAAGCTTATATATAGACATCTAAGTTTTTTGTGCCCCACCACTTTTGTACATATAAAAACGCCACTGCGTGGTTCATTGTTTATTAATGTGTTTCTGCAGCATTTACCGACCGCTGCAGTGTTGGCTGCTCTTCTACGGGAGTTTATTCTCCTCCGTTAGCTCCCGGTTAGCTCACATTGCAGCGGCCGCTCTAAAGTATTCACTGTCCGACTCACACAAGCAGCTGATACATATCCCCAGTTCCCCTTAGCCTAAGTGAATGTGTGTCAGTCTGAATTGACGCTGTTTGGTATCACAACGCTGTTATGAAAGTTTCTCTGGTATAAAATGGGTGATGTTAGCATAGCAACCGAAGCTAAACTGACTACTTGCTATTGCTATCCTATTGTGGCATAAACCGTTTTCTACAGGCACATTTTACCAGCGTATTTTTATGATGATTCTACTTGTGATAGTCGGACACGACAACCTGTGCAGCCCATGTATTGATTCCATCCGATAGCTGCTATAATACAAAACAAAACGTCTGCCTCTCTCCACAATGATCAATAACAGTGAACGGATGGTCAAAGTAAGGTACAAATAAACAGAATCACACGAAGCCTGGTTAGTGTTGCCTGACTTTATAATAATAATAATAATTCCTTACATTTATTATAGCGCTTTTCCAGATGCTCAAAGCGCTTTACAAATACACATTACACATATTGTTTATACATGCAATGGTCACTGCAATGGTTATAAAGTGTGTTTATAAGCACTACTGCTTGTAGGCAGGCATGACAGTCGACCCATGTTCAGGGGAGGTGGGTTTAGTTTCCTGCACGCCTCGACGTAAGAGAGACGTAAGCGACGCCACCTCTTAGCTCCGAAGCTCTTGCCTCGAGTCTAGACCGACAATTTTTTTGGAGCTGGAAGTGAACCGGATTCCGGAGCAAAGAGCCGGCGCCGCTGCGGTGTGAACAGGAAAACCCGGCGCTTTTCAGGCTCCAGCTCCGAGCCGGAGCTGAAAAAGCACTGGCGTGAAAGGGGCAAGACTGACCCAAGCAAGCCTCGTTGTTCTGATAGCTCTGCCCCTGCGCTCCAACCCCCCTCCCTCCCCCACATCTACAGGTGAAAATTACTTTTGCGACACATTTATCGCAAGAAGTGTAGCAAAAGTCAAGACCGCAGATTCGTCGATTTATACTGCCACAGAGCAGATTCGTCAAGTTGTAAAACATTTTTTTTCTTCTGTGACTTCAAATTTGGTTCACAGTTACGTGGATATTTTATACAAGTGTACATTTGGTTCACTATTACGTGGATATTTTATACAAGTGTAATGTATGCACCCAAGCTCAGATTTTTTTTCTGCAAGTGCTCACATCAGGTTTTACACGCTCTCGCATTTTGCACCATATCTACCTTCATATATTCTGACTTCTGAATGTAATAATTCCGAGCTCTCCTGGGTAACCTGAAGGCATCGTTTATATTTCTCCCGTTACTACCCGGCATGCACTTCGTCGTCGCCATTTTTCTTGTTGTGTTGTGCTGCTGGGAGTTATACCTTCGTAGCTCTTAATAAAATCAGTCTATTTCAGAATTGAATTTACCTTTTTGTTGTTTGTGGAATACATAATCTTATTAGAGAGCGTTAGGAGCAGAAAGAGCAACATGGCGCAGTACAAAGGAGCCGCCAGTGAGGCCGGCAGAGCCATGCAGCTGATGAAGAAACGAGAAAAAGAAAGATCACAGCTCGAGCAGCTAAAACTGAAAATTGCCGAGGTAAGTAGCTTTTTACAATCAATGATAACGTGTTAGAATCATTTATTGCGAACTGACTTAGTATATTCTCCAAAATAATGATCGTCAGCCGTTATGAGACCTTACGCGAGAGCCCTGAGTCCCAGCAAAGTGGAGGTTCAGTGAAGGCGTCGCAGTTGCAGTGTTTTACTTATCATCCTTTTTGTTCAAGATTCAAAGCTTTATTGGCATATGCACAGTAGCTACAGTGTAGTTATGCTCCTCCAACAATGGAACATACGTGTATGTAAGACATTACCCAATAAAACATATATAAAAAAATCAATATATAGTGCAAGGAGAAAAACTGAATAGAATTACAATAGTGCAAGATTATGTTGTAAGACCAATGTGCAAGTATTGCTGAAGTAAACTTTATACATTTCGAATAAAATACAATAAAATGTTGCAAGTGAACAAGTAAATGCATCTTTATGACTTGATTTAACCAAAGGTTTGTGGAAAGCAACTCTTCATTTTTAAAGGACATTATTTATTACCTCATCTTGGACATTAGCTAACTTTTTGCTTAACGATATTCTTATTATTTGTACATTTTATGTACACAAAACTGAGTATATCTAAGTGTTGTGTTGGAAAAAAAAGAGGATTTTTTCCCCTCCCTTTTTTAAAGCAGAAATAATAATGCAACAATATTGTTCGGAAGAATATGATTCACATAAATAGCCCTTTAATGTTTTTATTGTTTATTATCTATTATACATTTCTATACTGTGTATTTCTGTTTTATAACAACCTGATCCTATTAATTTATTTTTAATATCTGAAAGCATGTTGTTTGGTACGTACAAATATATTTAAAAAAGTCCTATCTACTAGGGATGGGAACGATTTATCGAATATTCGAAATTATTCAGGTTTTGGAATATGAGTTCTGAATATTATTTTTTAAAAATAAATAATTTTATAGGATATATTCATTTCGGTTAATCGTTTTTTGGGGGGTCGAATATTTGAATATACATTTGCTTTCAAATTCCCATCCCTACTATCTACATAGCGTTTAGCTAGTAGGGTATCATGAGGCATCCTAACCGTATGTTACTATTAATGCTTACAAACATGGCAGGCTAAACTTTCCCTCCAGTTTGTCTTGTCTGTAATGTGTGTCTGTTTCTTACAGGACAACATGGTGAAGTCTAACATCGATAAGAAATTCTCCGCTCACTATGATGCTGTGGAGGCAGAGCTCAAGTCCAGCACAGTTGGTAAGAATTCTAGTTTTTGGACATCGAATACTTCTGTTATCACCACAAACTGTCCCTGCATGGACCGAATGAGCATTTGGCTCAAAAGAGATATTGGGAAAGGAAACCAATAATGCAACATCATTGCAATGTGGCTTGTGGTTCTATATAGACATGTGATTGTTGTTTGACTATTGTTTACTTGGTCAGGTCTGGTGACATTGAATGACATGAAGGCCAGGCAGGAGGCGCTGGTGAAGGAGAGAGAGAAACAGCTGGCCAAGAAGGAGCAGTCCAAGGAGCTCATGCTGTGAGTTATCATATGTATTATCACACAGTAGCTTTGGTTTAGGAACAGAAGATGCCTTTGGTTTAGCTGTGGTGATTCGCAGCGCTGTGATCGCGATGAAGTCCCTTCATATCTTAACGTCAGCTTTCAAATTCTGGCTATTGCATTTAGTCATCACAAATCATTAAGTGGTGTTATATTGTGGAGATTATCCTGCTGAACCAACGTGTATGTATTAGGGCTGCTCGATTATGGCAACAATCATAATCTCCATTATTTGGGTCAATAATTGATATCACGATTATTAAAAACGATTATCCATTTACTTTGAAAACATCCATTTATTGAAGAAAAAAATGTGAACAGTATGTTTTTAACAGTTCATTACCTTTAAGTAAAATTCAACTGAAAAACCAATAATAATAATAATTTTTTTAAAAATCGTTTTATTTCGATTACGTTGCTTTCGTAATCGTTGCAAGCCAAAATCGTAATTGCGATTAAAATACGATTAATTGAGCAGCCCTAGTATGTATCATAATCGTGTGTTTGCCAAATATCTTATTATGCTAAATTCCTTAATCCAATGGGAAAATCCCATTGGATTAAGTCAAGGAAGCCATGTGGTGCTCAGTTCAGGTGGTGTGTCCATCCATCCATCCATCTTCTCCCGCTTATCCGTGGTCGGGTCGCGGGGGTAGCAGTTCCAGCAGAGAGCCCCAAACTTTCTTTTCCCTGGCGACATCAACCAGCTCTGACTGGGGGATCCCAAGGCGCTCCCAGGCCAGCGAAGAGATATAATCCCTCCACCTGGTCCTAGGTCTACCCCTTGGTCTCTTCCCAGCTGGACGTGCCTGGAACACCTCCCTAGGGAGGCGCCCAGGTGGCATCCTAACTAGGTGCCCGAACCACCTCAACTGGCTCCTTTCGACGCGAAGGAGGAGCGGCTCAACTCCGAGTCCCTCCCTGATGACCGAACTTCTCACCTTATCCCTAAGGGAGACACCAGCCACCCTGCGGAGAAAACCCATCTCGGCCGCTTGTATCCGCGATCTCGTTCTTTCGGTCATGACCCATCCTTCATGACCATAGGTGAGGGTAGGAACGAAAATGGCCCGGTAGACAGAGAGCTTTGCCTTCTGGCTCAGCTCCCTTTTCGTCACAACGGTGCGGTAAAGCGACTGCAGTACCGCTCCCGCTGCTCCGATTCTCCGGCCCATCTCACGCTCCATTGTTCCCTCACTCGAGAACAAGACCCCGAGATACTTGAACTCCTTCACTTGGAGTAAGGACTCATTCCCTACTTGGAGTGGACAGTCCATCGGTTTCCTGCTGAGAACCATGGCCTCAGATTTGGAGGTGCTGATCCTCATCCCAGCCGCTTCACACTCGGTTGCGAACCGATCCAGTGAGTGCTGAAGGTCGCAGACCGATGAAGCCATTAGAACCACATCATCTGCAAAAAGCAGTGGTGCAATCCTTAGTCCACCGAACTGCAGACTGGTGTGTCAACATTTTTAAATAGTAGTCTGCATCCAGAGTTGGGTGTAACGCGTTACAAAGTAACAATATTCCTTTTGTCGGTAACGGAGTAGTGTAACGCGCTACTTTTATAATTCAGTAATCACACTACAGTTACTAACATTGCCCCGACACGCGTTACTTCGTTACTTTTATAAAATCAGTCATAATCAAACCTCAACAAACACCTGCAAAGAACACATGCTAAGGTGAAGCTAACGCACAGCTATTTGTTGTTTGTTTATATCACGTAGTCTGTTCTTCTTCTCTGTCTTTCGGTTGTTGCCTGTTTTGAATGACGAATACACACTACCGCCGCCTGCTGGTAAGGAGAGTTATTGCCACTCACGCATGCGCAGTTCGTACGTGCTCGGCTGAAGTCTTTGCGGTGTGCTCCAGTCTGGTTCCAGTGCAACACATGGCCAACACGCAGGAGAACACGCCGACACAACAGCGTGAGCAGAGATAGACTGCGCAAAATACAGATATCAGGAGACAGAGGACAGCCATGGTCAGCTAGGAAAACATTCAGGATCTGGATCAGTGTTATGCGACAATGGAAACTGAACTAAAGAGAACATTTTAAACTTTAGCAGTCTGCGTGATCTGCCTGCAGGGAGGGGCGGGCCGGCTCTGCGAGTAAAGTAACGAGCAAAGTAACGAGTTACTTTATGTAGAGAGTAACGAAGTAGTGTAATATATTACTTTTTTTTAAAGTAATATGTAATGTATTACTTTTTTTTAGTTACTTTTTTTTAGTATCTCTGTCTGCATCCAACTAGTGCAAAAACTGGTTGGATCAGGATTATTTTTATATTTCTTGTGCCTTTAGAAACAATATGACTAAATAAAGATTGATTTGAGGGATTAGTATACCTACGAAGCTATTGTCCTGAAGCTCAACACTTTCAACACTGGGTGGCGTCCAACCCGACCTGTCCCAACAAGCAAGCTGTTCCTCCAGCTGCTAACTGTAACTAATACCTTTGTTTGTTTGGGCACCTGTACAATTTGGCAACAATAAGACAGCTGTCAATGAAGAAGATGCACACTTTATATATTACTCATTTAAGTAAGGCGGGGATAGGTAATGTGTGTCATCATGGCTCTATGCCGGTCATTCCTGTCTTTTTATACATCGTTGATTTTTTTTATGGTTGCAGCAAGCTGGAGAAGCAGAAAGAGAAGAAGAGGAAGGAGGAACAGAAGAGGAAAATCGCCAGTTTATCGTTTAATCCCGAAGACGAAGGAGAAGAAGAAGAGGAGGAGGAAGAGGAAGAAGAGGATGGTGAGTCTTTACTATATGAGAGTGACAGCGTAAAAGAGCTCCACTGACATCCTCAACATCCATATAAAATGTACATGGATTTGGGAAATGATTCAAATGTACAAACGTATTCAAATACATTGGATATGCTCTTCTTATGGTGCATTCAAGACGGGTTGATAGCGATGTTGTTTACGCGTCCAAGCAAAATAGTTGTGTTGCTTTCTGCACTTAATTATGGAAGATATTACAACTATTGCTGCTTTGTCCCTTCTGCGGAAGTCCTACAAAAGTAGCAGCAAACGCCGTCGTGTCTGGGTTCATAATATCATCCGGCGTCGCACACAATTTGGTGAATTTCATCGTCTTATCCAGGTACTTATCTTCCTCCAAGCCAGCTCTTTTTTGTTTCTGTCCCCGAAGATATACGACATTAGTACCCAAAAATCGCATTGCTTCCGGTGTGAACGCACCATTCCAGCCACCAACATCCGACTGTTCTCCCGAAAGCCAAAACAAAAAAGGAATCTTTCTCTAATGGCAGTAGAAAACGAGTCTGTATCCAATTGTAAAGCAGGTTTTCTCAGGGTCAAAAAACCTGCATATATTTCTTGTAAAGAAAGGGTTTGAGAAAATCTAAATAATAGACCATCAATGCAGATGTTAAGAAATGGGAGTCAAACAAAACAATGTCCTTGTCACATGCTTTGAGTAGTTGTTGCATCACAGCTTGGCTCAAATACATGTATTATATAAATATAGAAGTTTAAGTTCAGTTTTGGTTATTGTGATTATAGCATATATAAAACAATTACTTACTTTTCTGTTTTGTTTTTATCTTTGTGCTGCTTATAGAAACGTTTCAATATGTTTGCTTTCTTGCTGAATTAGATTTGGAGATGAATACCACTCCATGTCTTGTGCTAAATAACAGGCTACAACCAGTAGACAGTTAGCTTAGCATTGCTCCTCTGTAGCACATAACCCCGCAAATGATCAGCATGTCACTTTTATACTTTGTTTTTCTAAGATTTAACATGGTTATTAGGAAGTTTGTCTAATTAACTGTACTATGTCTGTATAGATTATCCAACAAAGAAGAAGAAGCTGGGGAAAAATCCAGATGTGGACACGAGCTTCCTTCCTGATCGAGACAGAGAGGTGAGGGGAATATAAAACATTTCTGTCAGTGGCTAACATTCTTCTTATTTCTTTTTATATTTCAGGTAAATATTTCAACTCGTTTGAGGGAGTTATCATATTCCAGATGAGGCCAGAGGAATTTAAAGATCAGCTTGGCAGAATGCAGAATGAAACACAAACCAAGCAACACTTAGGGTAGTAGCAAGCAATCTAGATACAGTATATATCCCCCTTTTAAACAAGCAAACAGACTTCTGAATAATTGTAGCTCACAGTACTGTGTTAAAGTTTCCATTTTGATACTGTGACAGCAAATTCTTTATGGATAAACCTTAACATTTCCCTGCCTCTTGTGCTCAGGAGGAGGAGAATCGCCTCAGAGAGGAACTCCGGCAGGAGTGGGAGCTCAAACAGGAGAAGATCAAGAGTGAGTGTCAACACAAACATCCCTCATTACTTTACTTCAGTTGTGTTTCTCATGCCTTTCTGTCCACAATGACTTTGTTGAATTCCCTGCTTTACTTACAAACGCACACTTCCCATTAGGGATGGGTATCGTTAAGGTTTTAACGGTACTACTACTTTTATCGATATAGCTCATCGGTCCGGTCTTTTAACGGTTCTTTTGGAGAAAAAAACAAGGTAAACTAACTAAACAAATCGTGAACAAAACTAACATTGCTTTTTATTTAAATTAAATAAATAATATTTCACATCAAAAGAAACAACAATGTTTTAACAAATCGTATTAAATAATCTGATGACAGAACTGTAAACAGAATAGCTGAAACTTTAACAAAATAAATAATCATTACCCCATGTTTGTATAATGGAGTTAACTCTGTGTTGCTGCTAGCATACATAACACCTGGCGTGGAAACGTTACTCGTGGATGGGGCTACAGAGCTACTAGAAAGACAGTCGAACGCATTCCTCCGTCTGAATGTGGAGCACTTTTGATAAATGTTTAGACAAATTGTTCGTGTTACCGCCCTTACATGCTAAAGTCTTATTGCACTTTTGGTAACGAGGATTGTCCACATCAAGACGGGTAAAGTTTAACCACACCTCGGAGCGCGTTCTCTCCGCCATCTCCTCCGTGTGTGTGTGTGTTGCATGTAGCAGCTGCGTGTGTGTAAACTGCCCCGCCCCCTCCCAAGCAGGCGGGGGAGAGAGATATCTCGACTGGATTGGAAAGATCGAAAATATCCACATTTTGCAGTCTTTTTGCATGTTAGAAACGGAGTTGGCGACACTAAAACTGCAATATAATGTTTGTGTAGCAATAATACATATGACATTTTTTACATGTCTCCAGTACCGATAACAAGACCGATAACGTCGGAGCTTAACGGTACCACGGTCTTTAATAATTCAGCCCCGGGGCCCGTTTAATACCGGGGCTCGGTACCCATCCCTACTTCCCATGGATCCAAAATAATGGTGTGTATCTTTTGTCTTCAGGCGAGGAAATCGAGATCACATTCAGCTACTGGGACGGCTCAGGGCATCGTAAGACTGTCAAGGTAAAACACCATGAGCTGTTATTATTTGATTAAAGCTACAGATCTGTTGATGATGTTGTAAAACAATATACTTTGACAAAGTGGTTACTACTCTCTCCATGATTTCATTGTGTATTTGGCCCGCAGATGAAAAAGGGAAATACCATCCAGAACTTCCTGCAGAGGGCCCTGGAGGTCCTCAGAAAGGACTTCAGTGAGCTCAGGTGAGATGTTGAAGATGAGTACACTCTTTCTTAAAACACATAATGATGATTGGTCATATTCCATGACCCATATAAATGTATCTTTACTACATTCTGTCATGCTTGTGTCATGCAGGTAGACAAAATGATCAATCTGACCAAATTAACACAAATTAAAGAGGCCCTAATATGCCTCTGGGGGGTTTCCCTTTCCTGTAGTGTTTGATATATAATGTTGTGCATGTTAATGGTCTGCAAAGACTAAAATCCCAAAGTTCGAATTCATGTTTAAATTAATCTTTACTGAACTGATTTTCCTCTGGGCAGGTCTGCTGGAGTAGAGCAGCTAATGTACATCAAAGAAGATCTGATTATACCACATGTAAGCAGTTCAACCGTTGCCTGACTTTGTTTGGATTTGATTTGTTTCTCTTCATTTAATTGTTGTGACAGTTTTGGTTGATGAGAGATTCCTTTCACGCTCCAGGCGTTACTCAAGCTTGGTCAGCCAAACCCATCGGCTGTTGCCTCGTTGTGCTAATGCTTTCTGAATGAATAATAGATAAAGATCTCGTTTATTTTATCATTTGCCTGATCTGACAGGTTGATTGTAGGGATGAGTGATTTAGAGAACATTTTATTTCACAATATTTCTGATTAAATACTTTAATATCGACATAACACTTCATCATTCAGTCATTGAACTGATGAACTTACATACACTCAAATACCGTAAGAATCCAGAGCGATTTGGGTTTAAGTATCTTGCCCAAGGACACAGCGGCCAACCATTTCTGTTGATGATTTTTAGGAAAAAACCGAATAAATAATAAACCTTATACTCTAATAGCTTTCAATCTGTGCAAACATAGTACACAAATGCCAACTTAAACAAGTATAGAGTCTAGAGAATGTCAACAAATATTGAAATGTGTGGAGCAGGTGCGGCACTTTATCCCTCTTTGATTGTTCTCATCTGTTTGTCTCCTTCAGCACCACAGTTTCTACGACTTCATCGTAACCAAAGCCAGAGGCAAATCTGGTGAGTGATCCTCAGCTTTCAGCCAATCCATAAACAGTACCTGGCTTTGTTTCTATTACATTTTGAAATAGTTGTGTTACTGCCTTTGGACTCAGTTTATCTGTTTTCTTCCAGGTCCTCTGTTCAGCTTCGACGTCCACGATGATATCCGCCTGGTGAACGACGCCACCGTTGAGAAAGATGAGGTGAGGATTTGTTTTCATAGTGAGACAAAAGGACTTGGAGCAGTGCTTCTCAAAGTGTGGTCCCCCTAGTGGTCCGTGAGTATATTAGTAACATTTCACATTTGAAATAAATAAATGTAAGTTTTCCACACTCTCGCGGGAATATCTCCGCAATGGAGCGAGCTTAAGTTTCACCTTCGATTGCATGATATAGCCCAGCGCAACACCTTCATCACACATGTTGCCACTTGTTTGTACCATTTTCAGGCGATTTGTAATCTATTCTAGAAAAACGATGTGTTTTGGAATATTTGTGGAGTTAGGTGGTCTGCGAGTGTTTTTTTATTGGTTAAGTGGTCCTTGGTATGAAAAAGTTTGAGAAACACTGACTTAGAGGAAATGAACGGAATTCTTTAGTTGATCTGAACCAGTGCCGAAATTGAACGGCAAATCCTAACACAGGCTGTTGTTTTATAAGGAATTAATATCATACATACCGTACAAATATTTCTGATTTGGGGGGGGGGACTTCTGGAGTCAATAGATGCATCAGTTTTCAACCTTTTTCTTCATCATCCAAGATATATGTCAATGTCATTCCTTGCTATACTGTTTAGTGCAATCCATATTTAAGGTATAGATACTGAGATGAATATCAGCTTAAGGGAATTCTGCAACAAAAAGTGTGCATGTCGAAATGTTTGCTAAATGGTGGACAATAGATAAACCTGACACTATAACTTTTTTGACAGGAGCAGTATGTAACACAATGAAGTCCTTGACAACAATTGAAAGTAGACAAATAAATAAATAACATGAAAAGTAAGATAATTTGCAAAATGAATGGAAAATCAAATGGGAAATAATGTTTAAACAAGACAAACAAAAGATGAAAAATAAAATGTAATAGTGTTGAATCTAAGATGGGGGGGGGGGGGACAGCTTGTGTGACTTCAAACCTGCTTATTTGAGAATGAATTCAAATCAGCATTTTCCATCTTAAGTCATCACTGCCCTGCAGGACATATTGTTATGATGAACTGACAGCTTCCGAGCGCCTTCCTAGAAAGCATTAAACAGGATCTCACATGTAACCAAACATAGTTCATTGTGCCTCTGCTTGCAGTCAAACATTGAATCATAATTCCCATAATGGATGTTCTCTTGGTGATCGGTTCATTCTGCGTACATCTCAAGTGTGCAGAAATCCTTGGATGATCATTTGAGTGGGCATTCATTGCAAAGTGAAACACCCTTTCTGTGTTCTTGTCTTAAAGTCTCACGCTGGTAAAGTGGTGCTGAGGAGCTGGTATGAGAAGAACAAACACATCTTCCCTGCGAGTCGCTGGGAGCCGTACGATCCTGAGAAGAAATGGGACAAATATACGGTGAGGGGCCAATCATCTTTCAGGTTTCATCTTATCTTTATCTTATATCAGTGTTAGGAGGGTTACTTTAAAGGAGCCCTATTATGCTTTTTGGGGTTTTCCATTTCCTGTAGAGTGTTTTAAAGGTTTGTGTGCATGTACATGGTCTGCAAAGACTTAAATCCCAATGAGTGTCTCTCCCTCCCGCACTTCTATTGGCTAGCGATCCAACACATTGTAGGTGATAGGCTAAAGGGTAAACCATTTCTAATCAGTTGACCAATCACAACAGAGCCGGCCAGCTAACCTATCAGAGCAGACTGGGAAATAAATAAATATCAATAAGATGGTTTTACTTAAGTGTATTGTGTAAGACAACAGAAGAAAGTATTAGAAAAGAAGAAGCCAAGATATTGAGTATCAAAGATGATTTGATCAGTAGGAAAATCTGCCTACACACCAACACATGAGAACACACTACACTACTAAACACTACAGTTTAAAAAAGCTGAAATCAAATGAGAAAATGCTCTGTTTTAGTTTAATACACGCAGCTAAACTCACACACTATTTGATGAACATATAAATTCACCTACTGAATTATAAACCGAAAAAATGAAGCAAAGAAAGCTTAAAGCAGATTCAGCCAGTAGTAGATTCACACTGAAAGTATCAGCCTACAGAACAGAACAGCTTATCAAATAAATAACATCTGATCCTCTATATCCTCTTTTTAGGTTTGTATAAACATTGTAACCCTGCTAGTAATCCCCAACTTTAGGATAAGTAACTGTAATCTGATTACACTTATTTTCAAAGTAACTGTAAGGCAATAGAATTAGCTTTTTGTGTATAACCATTCTAATTGTAGATCTATTCAGTGTTCTTCTCGGTTTTAACATCTTTTTAAAAGTTTTAAAAAATCTCGTAAATTTCGTTGGCAGTAAATATCCCACTCTGAATAAAGGCCCTGAAATCCCCCGTTCACATATCTGTTTACACCAGGCTGTCTAATAAACGTGTGATCCTGGTAAGATCATAAAAGCCTTGTCGTGTTGTTTACAGCTACGGCCTATTCAATCAACTCTCACAACACGTTCTAAAGACGTAAATAGACTCAGACCTCACTGCGTGGAGGTTCTCAGAAGAAAAGCTCCCCCAACGCCAAGAAACGTTGCCAACGTTTTCTTGCATCGGCATGCTTTTGAAGTGCCACTGGTTTACCCAGTTACCTGGCACAGGAGGAGAGAGGAAGTTCATTCAGGTGAAATGGTTACTCCACCCCCAATATGCCAATTAATCATCTCATGTGACGTGGAATGTTGAATCAAACGCCTTACATAACTCCCAGGTGAACAAAGGATCCAGAAAGGAAAGAGAAGTCTTCATAAATGTTAATAATATTTATTTATAATAATATATATATATTTATACATTACAATTATAATACGTGGCGCTTGCGTCATCGCCACGGAGTAGCACACAGCCTCTGTGAGAGAGCGAGAGCTAGAGAGCACACCTGTATCTATTTAATATCGTTGTAAAAAATAAAGTAAGAAATCATTCCAATGTGTGCTATAGGACAGTACAAAAAACAGTTTAAAAGGAGAGTGATTAGTAAAATATGCATAAATAGAAAGAAAGAATGCTAACTAGGTAACATAAGATAAGAATAAACCAGTTTCAATGATTTGTTGTTGGTTGTGATCATATTCTAAAGATGTTTGGATTATTGAAAAATATACAGCTCCCTTTCATCTGAGTGTTGAGAGTGTCCATAAGTTCATGTTGCTCTCAAAGTGCACCAGATTGATGCTTTAACTTCAACATTTAAAAAAACAAAATCTTCCCGGGGGAGCATGCTGGATGCTAGGTCCACCCCCAAATAAAGCAGGTTAAAATAATTAAATTGCATACATTTTATTTTGATTGTTTGTTATGTGGATGTGTAGTATTTGTGTTACTGTATGTTCAATAAAGGTGATTTAGCAAAATACACCTTTAGAGCCTCAGGAGCCTTTCTTGAGCTGGAAGACACATAGAAACATATTGGCGGGGCGCACTTCGCACGCACACACACTAAAACATTTCACGCGCTCCACGCTCACATTTTGCTGGGCCCGTGTGCCTTAGCACCGCTGCTATGACTCCATCCTAGGGGAAACACTGAAACTATATCGGAAACAGTTTACAAACTCTGACACATCTTTCATTTACATAGTAGGCTCCCTAGCTCACACACACATGAATGTTCACTAAAGTTAGAGCTTTGCAGATTTGTTGCTGTGTTTTGTTTTTACATTTGAGGCTTCTACAGAGATATTTGATCAAACTTCAAGCGTCAAATGACATCCGCACTGAAACGAAAATGCCCTCAGACAACATTTCCTATTGAATACAGTTAGATTAAAGGGGCCCTATTATGCTTTTGGGTTTTCCCCTTCCATTTGTGCATACTGGTCTGCAAAGGCTACAATCCCTGTGTTCCACCCAGAGGTCACAGTCCTCACTCTACAGAGAGCAGAATCACTTCGGAGCTTCATTTGAAAACCTCCAATAGAAGCCTTAAATGTGAAAAACATGTGTTTGTGTATAAATGACTGTCACAGGATTTTGTGAGATGTTTGCTTTCACAAAGGACATCAATCGTTTAATCTAAAACAGGCAGACTACAAATATTCATTTAATCAAAGTTTGATTATTTGTTCAGATGGGATGTTTAATCGTGTGTATTGCGCTCGTTTGTTTTTCAGATCCGGTGAAACAGCTGTCCTCTTCACTCTGTGGAATCCTTCATGCAGATTTTTCTTCTGTTACGTTCCATGTTATTTTACTCATTTAATCAATGCTTTATCAAGATGTGATAAACTATTGATTCATGACTTGACTTTGAAATACTAGATTTCCCAGATGTATTTGAATTGCAAATGTTTCCTGTGAAAACATTCATGTGTGTATAGCTCATTAACATGATAATAAACATAGCCTTGGTATGACTCGGTTAACTGAAAGATTCATTTGGCTTCTTTATGGAATCTCATTCCTGCGAGAGTCGACTCTGGATGAGGTATGTTTGGCCCCGGCTGCTCACCTCTTGCTCCTGCAGCACAGAATGAACACGTCTGGCAGCGTCACTGCTGTTAAAACACGCTCGTTGGCTTGGCTGCACCCCGTAGCCTGAAGACACCACTCCCCTGGACGCCTCCTCCCTGGTTTGCTGTCACTTACTCTCACGCACTACACACTTCCAACGCTTGCTTCCTCCAGACGCTTCGTGTTTATTGTCTCTGTGTGTTTTTGAGCTCTGGTGCTTGCAGTTGGACCATGTCATGCGGGCTTTAGCAGCATGTGGACGGCAGCGCTTGTTGTGTTTCTCTTTTCGGCTCCCTGTCAGCATGTCTGGGCTCAGGAGGGGGCCATCACTCCTCAGGACTGCAGCCTGGACTGCATCAAAGAGGTATAAGCGCATAATCCCACCTTTTGTGTTTTGTTTACACACGTTCCGCTTCAGGTGTGTGTGTTGTGTTAATGTGTTGACGGCATTGTCTTCTGTTGCGGATACACTGTCTACATCCTTCTCTTGTTCATTGAAAGAAACTATTTTCAACTTTTTTTTAAAACATCACAGCTGACCTGAGATGTACACGGTGTGGGAATGTAATTACAAATGTTTACCAAATACTTTAGTACACATTTAAGGTACTTGCACTCTACTTTAATATTTCTATGTTTTGCAGCTTTATACTTCTACTCAACTACATGAACAAGATTGTGTACGTTGTGTTCTACTGTATTCATCTAAATGCTCTAGTTTGTAAGTATATATTTATAAGCTAGAGCTTTTAGATTTTTACTCTTATATTTATTTAAAAACTTTAGTTTTTAGATTTTTACTCCACTGCGTTTATCTAAAAGCTCTAGTTTTTGGGTGTGTATCTAAAAGCTTGAGCTTTAGATGTTTACTCTACTGCGTTTATCTAAAAGCTCTAGGAACATGTTCAATTGTTACCCTTCAGATGCCAGTTTTCCATCCCCTTTATGTCCAGTTAAAACGATTTTTCTCAACAATTTACAGGGTTCTTACGGTCATTAAGAACCTGGAAAAGTCATGGAAATTCAAAATGCTAATTCCAGGCCCCGGAAAAGTTCTGGAAAACAATATTTTTCCCAAAGTTTTGGAAAAGTCATGGATGTTACTAAAGTTGCATCAAATATAATTTATATTTTATCTAATCGCCAAAATAGTATTACTATAATGATAATAAATACTGTATCGTATAGTAATGAAACGTAAAATGGCATTTAACTGACGAGGTATTTTGCTGCTGAGAGATTTTAGTTGCTTTAGCCTGATTTGTTTTAGATAGGCACAACATGTTTCATATGCAGATCTTGTTTTCCTGTTATTGCAATAATGCAATAATGCAATTATTATTATTGCCAGCCATTGGAATGAATGGTGAAAAAAAACGTAGAGATTTTACAATTTCAGAGGCGTTTTTGTAGAAATACTACGTCCTACGCTGTGGACCAACGTAGTTATTACACTTTTTTTATGAGACTGGGTTGGAAGATTGACTTCAATGTTAAACATTTGATGTATTATGGGATGTATCTCTTGAATTATGAAAGTTATGAATGAGAAAAGTAATAGCCATCGATTCCCGAGCTGAAAGTTTTGATGTTTGAACAGAGTTTCTGCGATGTTCAATGCGGGAGGAGAAGAGGGCCAAAATACCGGCGGAATAATAATAATAAGCTTTTCGTCCGTAGAATAACAGTTAGTTATATAATGTTGTATGGCATGTAAGTGGTCTTTGATGTATTCCAATAAGAGAGTCGCTCACAGTCTAAAAGAGTATTGGTCGTTGTCCCCAGAGGCTAAATCATCAGGCATGGGGAATAACGGAGTACATGTAACAGGATTATGTAATCAGGAAACAAAAAAAGGTAACTGCATTCCTTTACCGTTACATACAAAAATGTGGGGATTACTAGCAGGATAACAATGTTACTGAAACATGTAAAAGAGTATATAATGTTTGTTGTAAAAGGATCAGATTGTATTTGTTCTTTGTAATATACTTTCAGTGTGAATCTATACTGCCTGAATCTGCTTTATGGTTTTCACTTTCTTTGGTTCATGTGTTCTGTTTTAATTCAGACGTGAAAGTAACCCTCCCAACACTGACCCATGACTATTGATCATTGTCCCCAGAGGCTTAATCATGGCCATATTTCCAGAGGTGTAAAGTAACTAAGTACATTTACTCAAGTACTGTACTTAAGTAACATTTTCAGAGATTTGTACTTTACTTGAGTATTTCCATTTGTTTACTTATACTCCACTTCAGAGGCAAGCTACCCTGCAGTATACAAAGTCATTCAAACTAGCTGCACCTTTACCAACTTTGAGAACACTTTGATGATCAATAATTATAAAACAATATCATATATATTATTCTAAAATGGACCAACCTGCACAATGAGTACTTTTTACTTTTGGTACTTTAAGTATATTTTGATGCTAATACTTTGGTACTTTTACTTGAGTAACATTTTGAATGCAGGATTTTACTGGTAACAGAGTATTCCAGAGTATTCTGGTACTTCTACTTCAGTACAAGATTTGAGTACTTCTCCCACCTCTGCAAATCGCTAGCGGATTGGTTTCAAGTATGTCATTAATTATAAATACTACAACCTATAACCTAGCCTAAACAGCTTCTTTCTTCATATTTTTCTTACAGCAGCAATATGTACGAGAGCAAAACTGCATACTCTGCTAAATGACTGACATGTTGTGGCTTGGACCTCAGCTGTCTTTGAAATGCCAGAATGATGCATAAATGGACTCAGATGGGTAGCTCCAGGCAGTAGGATTAGGATACTATCACAGGGCTACAGCTGCTCCAGTTGCATATGCCTCTGGACGAGAGTTATTTACCTTCGAGTGGGCCGAGGTACAATGTGAGGTTGTTTTACACACAACGTTTATGTCAGTTCTTGGAGGGAGATACTTCCTTTGTTGCACTGCCTGGGGTTGCTGACATTTTTGCGGAATTTGTTCCTACGACAAACGGTGTCGTATGCTGTGCAAATTCTTAAAAACTCTGAATGCACATTTTTTATTTCTGATTTTGGATGATCTAAGTTCGATGTTATTCGATTGTGACGATATGCCTCTTCAGACATCTGTCCTATGTTTATTGCATTGTGAGAATTCCAACTGAGGGCTTCCAGTTCGTGCCTTGAATGCTAAAACATATGTTCTTAGCATTCAAGGCACGCAAGCTAAGAACATTTAAGTTCTTAGCTTGCGTGCAAGTTTGTATTTAGGCTCGAAAGACATTCTGATGGCCTTTAACCAACCTGACAGTTTAACTACCATTGTTTGAACCAACATGCTTACACACTCTTTGTCTCTCTTGCCTACTATAGCGTTTCTTCCTCTCTCATTTACTCCACCTGTTTCTCTAGTCATGCTCTCTAAACCTGCAGGGCAAATGGGCTTTACGTAAGTGTGTACTTACAATGCGGTTTGACTAAGACATTCTGGTTTCAAGAAATCCTATTGGGTTGATGACTAATGCCTTTGATGTGTTCCTTTTTTTAAACCGGTTCAGGTTGTAGTCATTTGTTTCACAACAACAACCCGACACCCTGTGAATTGGAACTATATTTTAATTATTGAGCATTACATGGAAACAGTCAGAAACAGAGCAATATTCTTTACAATATCATGATTTATTATACCCAGGGCTGCCCCTCCCTACAGACCAATCACGTAAACTGCATGGGGCCCCGCCTTGCGAAGGGGTCCCCGTCCAGAGGGCCTCAGCTGCTGTGCGCAGTTCTCCATGCAGTTCTCACGTCTGTAACCCGACACCGTTGCAATGAATCGACATCTGACCAATCACGGCTTTGATACGGTCACTAGTGCAGGTGAAGAGATGTCGGTGAAAAGACAGTTTCAGTCCGGAGCAAGCAAGAGGGGAAAAAACATGAAGAAACTAGAGCATCACTCGAATGTTGGTTATTGTATGAGTCAAATGTACAACTTGCGAATGTTGTATAAGTCAAATTGCCAATTGCCATATTAAAACATCAGCTGCAATTCACGACATGAAGAAGGCAGTCTCTGCAGAGCATATAGGCTAATGGAGATGCAGTTATTTCCAGCATCCTTTATTTAACATTCATTCAAGTATGTTATGCCTTTTATCTGCTAATGTACAGGAGGAAGAGAGATACACTGTCTGTCTAGTTGGCTTACAAAACAGTTAAAGTTTACAGCATAAAAAACATGGAGCATGTTTTCCCCTTTTATTCATTTGTATGTCAATTTGCACATTTCATGGTGATGCTCAGCCTCTCCCCTTAACAGTCATCATCATGTCAACCACAACACAGAGAAATACTGATAGAAATGTGTGTGTAGTTGTTGATACATTGCTGACAGAGGGAACTACATTCAATTCAAAACCTTTATTTATCCAGGTAAAATCCCATTGAGATCAATGATCTCTTTTTCAAGGGAGACCTGCAGCAGTAGGTTCCACAAGAAGACATAAAAACATAAACAACAGAACAACAAAAGGACATCATACAGCAAAATGTACAGGGATTACAATTTACATATTTAACCACATGTACAGGTACCAACAGCATCTGATTTGTTAGCATCCAACCGAGCTTTAAAAACATGTAGTGGTACTAGCTTCGTAATTGTCCATTCTTTTTGCAGACTGTTCCAAGTTAGTGGAGCTGCACATCTAAAAGCTTTCTTCCCTAAGACAGTCCTAGCACTTGGCACATTTAATAAAACCACAGCATGCGATCTCAGGCAATAAGTACTTTCAATTCGCAGAGAGATCAGGGAGCAGATATAAGATGGTAGTTTATCCAACATGGCTTTGTAAATGAAAAAGTACCAATGACTGAGCCTCCGTACAGTAAGTGATTGCATAACCGCCTTGGTATACAGGGTACAGTGATGCGTAAGTGCTTTACAATTTGTCAAAAATCTCAGTGCACTGTGATACGCAGCATCTAACTTGCTCAGGTAATTGGCAGGTGCATTCATATATAACAAATCACCATAGTCCAGCACAGGTAAAAAGGTCACAGTGACTAGCCTTTTCCTGGCCTCAAGCGAGAAACAGGACTTGTTCCTGTAGAAGAAACCTAGCCTAACCCTCAGCTTTTTAAGCAGGTTATTGACATGACATTTAAAAGTGAGACAATCATCAAGCCAGATACCAAGGTATTTGTAACAGGTAACCACTTCAAGTTGTATTCCTTGCGTAGTTACAATATCCAAAGCAGTCTCTGGTGTATTTTTAGCTTTAGAAAAGAGCATTACCTTGGTTCAGAGATGTTCACAAGCCTTTTTTTGCAAGTCAATTCTCAAGTCTTTGGTCACGAGTCCAAGTCAAGTCTCTAAAAAATAAGAGT